CAACCTGGCTTCTTCTCCCTTTTCCTGTGAAGAGTTTGTCCAGTGCCAAGAAGTGCATAGTCTTCCAATTGGAAACTAAGCCTCATATAGACCTTAATTGCAAGATTAGAGTAAGATTTCCCCTTCAAGATTAGAGTAAGTTTTACCCTTCATGTGGCATGAATTTTGCACCTTTGCAGCTTCTCCCTAGCATCATTGAGGGAGGTGTAGTGTGCCTACCCACAACATAGCACTAGTCCAGAGCCCTGTAGCTTGTGCCGCTGTCCTTGTGAGCGGTCTTTGCTCACCCTTGAACTGAGGGTAAATGCTAATCCCATGTCCTTCCAATATTGTCTTCCAGTTTTTATGCTCCCCTTGAATAAATCTGGCCTCCTGGCTGTGACTTGAGAAAACCTGACGCTCTGTTGGTTCAAAGTCTATTTATCCTTATGAGGAGGATCCCCAAGGGAAATAAAGTACCTGCTTGTGGATTTACCTGCTATACCTACACTTCAAAGGAAGGTGGATGTTCAGATACTTCCTTGTGCACACAGATTTTTGAGGTGCTAAACTCTTCCTCTGCAATACAGAGAAAGTTTGGGTGTGCAGTTCTGGGCTTTGGATCCTCCTCCAGGAGTGGGGCTCTTAAAGCTGACTGACTGCTGTGACAGAAGATTTACGGCTGTTAGTAACCTTCCCTATTCTGTAGGTAGCTCAAGGAAGGAAATTCAAAGGATTTGAGGTCTCTGGCTTGCTGAACTGGCACCTTAAATTACATAAAGCAGCTGCTGTGCCTTGGTCTTCTACAGTGACCATTCAAAGCATCTCTTTTAAGGGCCTTCTAATGCTATAGAGAGTCAATTTTCTCTTTCCTTAAGATAAAGATTAATATTAACTAGATTTGACTTCTGATTAATTTTTAAAATGTTCCTCAGCTTATAGCAAACAGTTGCTTTGCCACTTGAGAAATTGTAGCTACATCTCTCTGTTGCATCCCACAGGGCAGTAATATTCTTCAAATAAATTTCTTCTCCACTCATGATATGCTAAAAATGAACGTAATTATAGTTCAAAAAGATGCATCCGCTTATTTGGCCTTAAAAGTGCTACTTGCCATTAAAATAACTTAGAAGTTTCTGCATTCTTTTTGTCACCAATCCAAATCCTAAAAAAAAAAAATCTGTATTAAGATAAAGTCCTGCAGAAGTTCTCAGAGAACACTGAGTATCAAGCATGCCTGTAAAATATTTCACCTTAATGACTATCGGATATATTTAAAGAGCTGTTATTTTTAACCTCTGAGA